GGGGGGCTCTTTTCTCTAAGCTTCGTGATGAGAACTTTCCCTCTCAGAACTCACGGTCTGCCGTCCGTTAAACCTTTCACCCAAACCCTGACCATAAAGCAGTGGTTCTCAACCTTCCTCATGCCGCGACCTTTTCATACAGTTCCTCATGTTGTGGTGACCCCCAACCATAAAATGATTTCCATTGTTACTTCATAACTGTCATTTTGGTACTGTTATGAATTGGACGACCCCTGTGAAAGGGTCGTTCTACCCCCAAAGGGGTCGCAACCCACAGGTTGAGAACTGCTGCCATAAACGAAGCCAACTTTCACACAAAGACTGGGCCAAGTGCTTCCCTTAAGGGCTGGTCAGGACGGCAGCCACATCCCTGGGACACACATGCCTCTCGCCCACTTACTCTTGGCGCTGAACTTGTTTTCTTTCCGCGTTCTCCCAGTTTTCTTCAAGCAGCCGTCACAGACAAAGCTGCAGAGAAAACCAGGGGTGTGATGAGATCGAAATGCAACCCATTGCCACTGAGCTCAGGTGGACACCCAGGGATCAGCCATCCCACACAGCAGGGCAGAGCTGCTCCCAGGAAGTCTCGGCAGCCTTCCCGCCAACCCCACACAGGGAAGGGGCAGCCTACTCTCCGCCCCCCTTCTGCAGCCCCTGGCGGCCGCTGCCCCCCTACTGCTCAACAGCAGTGCAGGGACTGAGGCCTAAGCAGCAGTCCCTCACCCCCTCCTGGTTGGTGCGGACTGGCTTCCCGCCCAGAGAACACAGGAAATGACCCACCCCGAGGGCCAAATGATGTCGTAGTGCAGCACGCAAATCTGATGCATCTTCCGGCCACACTCCTTGCAATCCACAAACCTGGAGGGAAAGACACCAGCAGTCAAGCAGGGGTTCGTCCCCATCACTTTCGGAGCCGTACCTGCTCCAACGTGTGACTTGGATTAAGGGAAAAGTGAGCCCCGGCCTGCTCACCATCCTCGTCCTCTCTCCCTCTCTTCCCAGTTGGAAGAAAACAATGTTTGCTTCAAAGGTGGGGTCCCCGTGGCCATGCCAGTCTCTCCTGCCACTCTAACGGGTAGCCCTGGGGGGCTCCAGACACTTGCTCTTCAGTCTAAAAGATTTCAGAACACCCCGACAGATTGTGAGCTGCAGCCGCTCTAAGCAGGTGACAAAGTGCACCTACTACCCATGGCTGTAATGTCACCCAAGCCTGCCCCACTGAAAAAGCACGAGTGGCCGTCTGCTCCTGATGACCACTCAGAGTGTGTGTGTGTGTGTGTGTGTGTGTGTGTGAGAGAGAGAGAGAGAGAGAGAGAGAGAGAGAGAGAGAATGTGTGTGTGTAAGGAATCTGCTGACACCACTTTATACCTGGGAGCATTCGCTTCAAGAGCAAACTGTCAGCTTTCTGCTCAGCTGCGTCCTGCACGCCTCCCTAAGGGGACTGGGACACTTGACTATTCCCACAGGAACAGGGCCAGGATGCTCCTGGCAAGCCCTGAACCCCTACCACCTGGCCAGACCCCGCTCCAACCCCTTTCCACGGGTGGCAGGGCCAGCCTTCAACCTTGGTCTGTCAACCACTCAGCCACACTGCCACCTCCAGTCCACTAGTTCTCCTGGCCCACTACTGGCCTGCGTCCTCTCCCACTGGGACCTTCCCTGCTCCTCTGCCCCAGGAGCCCAGTCATGGAGACCTCTCCAGACACGTGCCAGGCCTGTGTGCGCTCACCACCCCCATCTCCCCGCATGACCTGTGTCAGGGTGAGAATGTCCTGCAGTTATGTGCTCCCTTGGCCCTCCCAAGGGAAGTTCACCGAAGTGTCTAGGGACCCTGCACTTGTCTTCCTTGCTCACTGACCAGCTTCACTGACCAGCTGACCGGAGCTACACTTTGGAAGGGGCTCATGCCTGAGTCTCACAAGGCAGGAACCCGCTTCCCTGGAAGCTTGGCACATGCCACAGTCCGCAGCACCCAAATGCATTGAGCAGCCCTGCCTGCTGGCTCCCAGGTTGGCCAGGCATCTCGTGGGGACTCTAGGCCCCTTTACAGGTTATTTCGGAGCACAAGTTGTAAACGCAGAGCCCTCATCCATCCCTGGACCAAAGTCACGCACTTGCCAATAGCCTTGGAAATCGGATGAAACCAAAGACAATGGGGCAAGAGTAGGCCTGGGGTCCCGCTATTCCCAGTTAGATGCAGTTTCTGAGAGGGTCTCCCTCCGTAAAGGCCCTTCAATGAGACCAGCACCAATACAGCCAAGCACTGTTGCCTCCCCTCACCCCTGCACTGTCCCCAATCTGTCAGTGTGTTGCACTGTGGAGACCTGCGTGTGGCTGTGACGCTGGAAGCTACGCCACCACTGGTATTTCAAATACCAGCAGGATCACCATGGTGGGCAAGTTAATCCCTAAAGACTCATGTACAATGGCTTCTTAAAGCGACGGTCACTATTGGAGTTGGAGAGGTGCAACACCAACACCCTTCACTTAATGTTACAGCCCCACTGGAGCCAACTCTGACCTACAAGGGCCCTGGGGACCGAGCACAACGGCTCCAATGGGTCTCTGAGCAGCCTGCTTTCCCCTCCAGCTGTGGAGTACCTGGTGGGTTTGAACCACCAACCACATGGTTGATTGACAGCCCAATGCTTAACTCATGACTTAGTGAGTACGGGAGAGAAGCATTTCTGTTTGTGTGAGTACCAAAGAACCCCTCTCTAAATGTCTAACTCCACAATACCCGTCGAAGTGTGAACTTTCTGGATTTGAAACTAACCTCTCTCAGCCAGGAAAAAACAAATAGCAGTGGACTCACGGTTCAGGGTCTAGGGTGTCATTTTTCTTCTTTTCAAACTGATCCTTTGAAATGGTCCTTATCAAAAAAACAAACAAACATGAGTTAACTACAGATTATCCATTGAGTACCAGCGTGTGAGCCCTGTGCCAATACCCCACAACTAACAAGCGGCTCCTCTTTATTGCTCTCCACACCTAGTTTTTCAAGTGGAAAGCAAAGGGTCAACTGGCATGAATGCAAAGCTTATTTCTGCCGAAAGCATGGCCATTTCCTTTTCTCTTCCTTCCATGGAAGGCATTTCCTTCCAACTATCATGGGCATTCACCACAGGAAACACTTCATTCACAAAGGGAAGGCCTGGGCTGGGATTCCGCAGCCCTCGACTGCTCTTGGTCCAGCTGACCCACCCAATGACAAGCTGCCTTCAACGCAGCCTTGCTGGCATCCACTTGAGGGGACGATTCACCTAGGTGCCCCCCTGTTCACTAGAATCCGTGGGCAGGTCAAACCAACAGGAAGGAGACACGCTGACACCTGGGGGCCCAGACTCAGTTTTGAGAGTATTAGAATCTTGTCACTTATCTGCCTTCTATTGGCTCGGTAACTTCAAGCCAAACTGACTGTAAAGCTGTGGCTTGTACACAAGACGGTCCTTCAGGCACTGCCCATCCTGTGAACAGGGACCATGTGGATGCTGACCACCTCTCAGGAAGAGCAAGCCCCCAGACCTGGGGAAAACCTGCATTCCTGTCGTGGGTGGGCCACGCCAGAGTTGGACGAGCCAGCGACATAAATGTGTGCCCTGGTTCAAATGTGAGAGTCCTTCTGTGAAGAACCACACGGGCACAAAAGCCAGGATGGCAATGATGCCTTGCCTCTTCATCGTGGGCAAGGGGGAAAGTACTTGGAGAGGCTCCCTCAGCCCCCAGCCCCAGGGACACAGGAGAGGATGGTACTTACGTCTGGGGCTGTGAAGGGTCGTCACCCAGGGTAACATTCTCCCCCTGGATCTCTGTGAAACACTTCTCACAGAAATGATACCTGTCAGCGAGAAGGCCATACTTGGGTGAACTGGTCCATCACAACACACAGCCACCCAAGCCACGAAGCCACCAATCAGAGCAGGGCAGATCACCACGACGAAGGGGGGGCGTTGTTGGTTGATTGATGGGTCAGTGAGCACAATGAGGAACAGGGGTGGGGGCGGGTGGGGCAGGGCAGGGTTAGAGAACAGGGAAGGGAACAAACAGCACAGACAGAGGTAAGACGCACACACCGAGACAACACAGAGCAGAAAGCCAAGGCAAAGCATCGATTAGCGCCGGGTCTCATTGCACACGTCACAGGCCGCCATCACCCTTAACTACGACAGGGCCATCCGGCTCCAGGACACCAGCTGTTCTCAAGGCGCTGGTAAGACTAGTTTTGCAGTGAGCCTCCAGTTAGGAATCCGACTCCTGTCGTCTCTTAGAGAAAATGGAATTCAGCTCCAGGATTCGAGATGGAAAAAATGGACATTGAACCAGACGGTCCAAACAAAGGGCTTTAAAAAAGGCACCTTAAACTTTAATCACTCTAATTTTTCCAAATGGCAAAATCATGCTCTGCAGCAGTTCAGAAATTTTGTTTCTGGCATGAAGCCAGCTCTTTAAATGTATGGAAGCACCGAATGCCCAGAACTGGTTTGAATTTTCTCTTGCTACTTTTCTCATTGTAATCATTTGGTTAATTGGGCTACCATACACATGAAACCAAATCCATATTCTAGACAAACATTTAACAGAAAGGCAGTCAGGGTCAGAGACTTTCCAGCCAGTTATCAATAAGCGCAGACGGAAGAAGCAGCTATGATATATTGTATAAGTCATACAATATATGCAAACTCATCAACAATCTTGAGGTGTTTCAGGTTTTGGTGTAGAATTTCTGGTCCTGGACCGCCTGCTGGTCAATCTGAGCCTCAGTATGAGGGGGTGGCTCTGATGTGGCCACGGCAGTCCAGATTCAGCAAATTGGAAAGCGTGAATTTGTAAGGCACAATCTGCATTTGAGAAATCACCCCTCACCCCCCCCCCAATTTTTGGTCAGGTCACTTGGAGCTTGGGCTCAAGCTATCAAATAGGTTCAGTTAAAAAACAAACAAACAACCAACTATTAAATGCTTGGAAAGGACATGAATGGTGGAGGAAAAGAAAGGGGGGAAAGAAAAATGAAACAACAACAACAACAACAAAAAACCAACACAAAGGCAGACGACAGCTGCATAAACGAGATGGGCACACAGAGAGAGACCTGAGTGCAGGGGCGGCACAAGCAGAGGGCACAGACCACAGCAGCACGGTAAAGGCGGGTGCAGAGCTCAGGACTACAGCTACAAGGGGCCATGACGATTAGTAATAAAGACACTGTCACGAGACTCATAGTGCCACACTGAACCAACAAGTGCAGGGTGGGTGGAGGTGGCAGGGTGACACGTGTGCACACACACACACGGGCACGCGTCTCCTCCCACAGCCCACTGCTAGCCTCGATGTGTCCAGCAAGCTTTAGGCTGCCAACCATTTCAGGGCAACCCCTCGGGTCCCTCATGCAGCTCTGGGCAATTGCACCCTCTGGAAGCAGCCTGTCTACTAAGAGTTTCTAGCTGGGTTGCTTGATTTGGGCCAAATTCAAGTCAATCAATTCTATCAAGAGCAAAAACTTGCACCAGGAAGTACCAAGTTGACACTGCCATTTTAAGCAAAAATATCTTTTTTGAAAAAATACCGTATATACTCGAGTATAAGCTGACCCAAATATCAGCCGAGGCACCTAATTTTACCACAAAAAACGGCATTTAAAATGTGCTTAAAAACCTCGGCTTATACTTGAGTACATACGATAAATGAATGCTATTAAATGTCTTCTAGCTATGTGCCACTCTATTTTTATTGAGACTTGAAAATCATATATAAAGAGGATTTCCCTGTGCAGAAGGGTACTGGTATCTGTGGCCAGAAAGTAAAATCAAACTATTGAAATCATCAGAATACAAAAAAGTATCCCTTTAAGGCCAAGCGCTTCCCTCTTGAAATGTAAACCTGGACTTGAAAAACTACCACAATGATTGCATGTGGGAACAAATGGATTTAAAATCTTGAACCAAGTCTTTGCTTTCATTTGGGCAGGATCACCAAAAATAAATAGATGGATAGATAGATAAAAATAAATAAACAAATAAGTAAATAAATAGCCCAGCAACACCCCAGCAAGCAAGACTCCTAAACCCACCATTTTTCAACAGAGGCAGCTGATGGAGAAGCAAAGTGCTGCTGACTGACGCAGTGGCAGACCCTGGGGTGTTGGAGGGCACCTAAGCTCTCTACAACCCAGCTCCCAGTATAGAAAAATCTCGAGGATAGAGTTAATATACGCAATTGCTTGCTGCCTCCAAATGCCAGAGAAATCGGAGAACACAACCCACTTATACTCTAGCAGGGCAGAGGGAAGTGCCCCAACTTCAGTCCCTTTGTAGAGTGCAGATGCCAACAGGGAGAGGAGTTGAGTCCAGCCATCCCACTGGCAACCAGTGGGGGCAGGTGTTGGGGCCGGACAGCCCCAGGCCCCCATTTCACTCTGGCTCTCCAGACAAGGTTAGGAAGCCTCAGGGCACTCTGTCCCATTTCCACAAAGTGGGCACATGGGTATGGAAAGGTGACACTGAGCATCTGTGGAGGGGATGCATGTCTGGGTGCCTCCAGCTAGCTCCAAGCTCCCACCTAATTTGTCATCAAATGTATGGCGGAAGTTTTCAAATGCAGATTGTTTAAAGTATCCATTACATGTTAAATCGCTGGAAAATCTGTGACAAGTTGTCCCAACATGAGCCACTTTTAAACTTTCAGAAGTATGGAAACAAGTGAAAATGCATACACGGCTTTAAGTAAGACTTTCACTTGTTGAGGGGTTTGTAGAACTTTTTACTGTCCTAGGTGCCCAAACAGTTTGGGACTCTACACATGCCAAAGCAATCATCCAAAGCTGCAGCTAAGATTAAGATGCTTGTCCCGCCCAGAACCCGGCCACCGCATTCTGAGAATGTCACCATGCAGGCTGCCAGGGGGCCCTGGCAGGTTCGGTGAGAAGCAGTGTGCCCTCCGGTTTAAGAACACAGACCTCCAGTACTTGTGCTCCAGTCTTAAGGAAAACACAAGACTTTTTGCTTAGGTGAAAAAAAAGAAGAAAAAAAATAAAGACGTTCTGCATTAAAAATAAAGATGGAAATGTCCGAACTTCTGAGAGTGCTATATTAGCACTTAGTGGAAGTCCAGGTTTCTAAGCCAGCATCCTCCAATCCCATCTGTTAATGTGAGTGGCTCTCCAGACAGGCTGGCAGTTGCCCAGATGGCCCAGTCAGGTGAGGCCAACAAGAAAGTCCCAACACACTTTAGAATCACCTGTGAGCCTGGGGGTGGCACCTAGGCACAACAGGTTCTTTCTCCCTGATCCAAAGTTGGTGCCCCCTACCCTCACGCTTGGAGCAAGGATGCCTTTTCAAGGTGCTGTGGTATTTTAAACTGTTCTCTGAACAATCTATAGCATCTGCATGCTAGGCGCCAAATAAGGGTCTCTCAAGTGGGTTCATGGTCATTATCTCATTGGAGTCAGGCAACAGGGTGGTGGCCAGCTAGGGTATTTCAGTGCCCTTGGCATCCAGGGGCAAGATGGCTACGCTGGACATGCTAAGAGACATGCTCAAGGCCACGGGGAAAACAGTGAAGGGAGGCACCGGGGCCAGAACTTCTAACAGAACCCAGTGTCAGGATGGGTGAACTCCAATGGGAAGGAGCTGTGGTATCATTTCAGCTTTGTCTTAAGATGTTTCTACTGACAGAAGGGGAATCTGGCAAAAATTAAGCTCTGAATATAAAGGGCTCTCAACAGGTCCTTTCACCTCCCCCAGCGCATCCCGGGGCTGGGATGTGTGAGCAGGGTCCAGCTTAGACACCCTTCTGGAAACATTTTTGTGTCAGATGTTCGTAATTTAGGAAAAGACTTTTGATAAGGAATTATGTCTTAAACATGGCTAAATAAAAAAAAAAAAACTTAGAATAACTAGGAAAAATACTAGGAGGAAAAAGAATTTCAAAAATCGCAAAGGTTCAGGACTGTGCAGGTACTCTGGGCCCGCTGATCAAATAGCCTCCCTATCTTTCCTTTGCAACATGGGAATGTATGGACTTGCTCGCCCAAACACGATCAGAAGAGTGGGAATGCCAGTCCCTAACGCTGACGTGTAACATCGGACCCGAGTGTGACTGGAGGCTGCATGTATGGGACCCCTAGCTAAAGGCATGCTTCCCACCCTCCACCTGCTTCCGGCGGGTGAGCTTCTCTCCAGTCAACTCAGAGAAGGAAGGGCAAATACTTCTCATGCACAACCCCTGCAAGAGCCTCCTTACAATACATGGGGACAAGCGGTTCTTGTAACCCCAAACCCCAGCTCGGTAGTGCTATGGTGCTAATTTAAAATTTTAAAAATAAGGACAGATTTTTTTCTCCCTTTCCTTTTTTTCTTTTTGGCGGAGGAGTACAAATCCAAGTCTTTCTGTCAAACTCAAGAGTCTGGCCAAATTCTCTAGAGTTTTTGTTTTTGTTTTTTTTTCAAACAGGGGTAAAACACTCATTTTATTTTCGAGTATCTTGGAGGTGGGAGTGAGACAGAGGCAATGTCAGCCCTTCTCAGAGTTACTCTCAGCTTCGAGCTCTTGCTTACATGGTGACATCTTAGAAAGACAGAATGGACCCAATCCAAGTGGGGAAGCAGGCAGCTTTTAAGCTTCAAATTTTATGCTAAAAAGGATTGGGGGGAGGGGGGAGAAAGAGCATTACAATTGACAAACAGTGGACTTATTTGCATGACCAAGAAACATGGGCATCATGGCTCTTTCCATCATGCCAACAGCAGGACACAGGTGCTGTGCCCTGACTCCCTCAGCTGAGCCACCATGTCCTCCGCCAACCAGTGTAGGACCCACGAGCTTACCTGTTCTGGTAGCTGTAGTAGGCGGCGTCTCTCGGAATTGTGCACAGCTGCTTCCCGTAACAGCACAGAGTCTGCGGGGAAAACTCATACTGCAAAACAAAGGGGAACAATACTAAGCACACATCCTATCAATCCGCATGGAAATGTTCTAGTTCACTATGGAAAGTGAAGGTTCAACTGGGAAATGGCTTCCTTTAGTGTATGGAGAGACTTCTGGCAATTTCCACATGCCAGTGTGAGCATCCAACAAGTGTCTCCTGTCACACAGCTTCTGGCAACCAACGGCTTTACAAAAGCTGAGGGTCCAACTGGGCACCCCCATCAGAAGGCTGAGTCTCTATTGTGGTATAATCATCACTCTAGTACCACTTTGGGCAAGATAACCCAGGAAAGCTCACTAAAGGTGGAATTGTACCTTGCGTCCACAGCAGTATCCAAGGTTCTGCATAACCGGATCAATCTCCTGTTCAAAGACCTCAGCAAGTTTGCTGCAAAACTTATAGACCCGAGACGTCTTCCGATTGTAGAGCCAGGCGTTGTTGAACATGAGCCAGACGTCGTCCACATACTGCCAAGGCTCCTGGTACTGCCCGGTGTCCAGCTTTCGCTTGATGGTAGAAAGGTCCATGGGATTCTTCACAATGTCAAAATAATCCTGGAAAACAAAATAGTCTCTCAGTCTAGTGGGTCCCCAAATGCTAGCTGCAGCCTTGAAAACAGTAAGTGAAGCCCGGACAGAAGTTACCAGAACAATTCTTGTTCTGCGAGGAAGAAAGGGGCACGGGACCAAGAATCACCCTTGATTCCCCGCTAATCTGTTATTTTCCAAGGCGGTCAAGTGACCTCGATGCAAAGTGAGCGCACACAAAGCATTAGGTGAACTGTGCGGTGAAATGCTACAACTAAGGACTGCAATCTAAATGAATTCTAAAACCAACATTTTACCGGGCAGCACGTGGTTCTAGAGTCACTCCTAACAAACAAAACAAAACGCCAAAGCAAGAACAAAAACCACGGCTGCAAAGGAGAATCTTCTGGATCACCATGGCCTTTTTAAGACGACACAGGTATGTTCACATCGCTCACCAACTCTTTACAGCCCTGTCTGGAGGCCAAGTTGCCCCCAAACCCCTCAGGCATAGGGGGGGCCTCTGAGGCAGCTGACACTAAATGGAAGGGTTTCTTCCTCCCCATTTTGCCATGGGCGCCCCGCAGAATGGGCTCCAATCTTCACTCACACACACACACACACATTTTTTTTTTTTAATCAGCCAGATGAAGGTACAAGAATACTTTGCCTGAAGACCTGTTTTTATTAGAGGGCATATCTTCAAAGGAAGGGGGCTATTTTACTCCAATTTTAAGAGATAAAGTTGCAGATATACAGGAGTCTTGAGGAAATCCTCATTGTTGCTATAAGCGATGGACTGAATTTGGTCCCCCTCAAAAAATTCTAACTCCATTTTGCCACAAACTTTTTGAAGCCTTTCATTTGTGTTGAAAATTCTAACCTCTATGCTTGGTGAGGAGGAAACATGGTGGTGTAGCGGGTTATGTGTTGGGCGGCTGGCCACGAGGTTAGCGGTTTGAAACCAGCTGCTCTGTAGAAGAGGCGGCGGAAGCTTTTCACTCATAAAGAGTTATATTCAGAAACCCACAGGGGCATGCATCTCTACTATATCCTATAGGGTGTGCTAAGAGTCAGAATCGTCAACTGGATGACAGTAAGTCTGGTTAGTGTGTTATGCCTGGTGGAGTACAAGGAGTCCTGGTGGTATACTGAGTTACATATTGGATTGTTAAACACATGGTCAATTGTTTGACTCCACCGGTCATTCTGTGGGAGAAACACGAGGCTCATCTCATCCTATAAATCTCTAGTGATTTACTCTTAAATCTAGTCATTTAAGTCTCAGAAACACAAAAGGGCAAATCCAGTCTGTCCCACAGGGTCATTTTAAGTGTAATCAACTTGGTGGCCATGTGCTTGTTTTATGTCCTTAGAATCTGATTTGGGACTGGGTTGGCTTTGTTATGTTAGTGAGCAAGGGTTGGTGTGCAGTGTATCTCCTGAGATATAAAAGAGATTCACAAGCCAGAGAGTAAGTAAGCAGTGGTGGGAGAAGAGAGGTGCCAAGATACATGGTGGAGATCTCCAAAGAACCAGGAAGCAGAGCTGAAGGACAAGGCTCTGCCTCCAGAGGAAAGCCTTCCCCTAGAGATGGCACTCTGGAGCTCACTGCCAGCTACCTCCTAATCTGAGAGAACTGAGACACCATGGGAACTTACGGGAATTCCTAGGAGCTGGGGATCCACAGGCTGCCGAAAAGGCAAGGACTCTGGGTCCTGTCGGTACAGCGCTTCCAGGGTCGGCATGAGAGCCTGGCGCAGCTCCTCAGGCTTGAAGACTGAAATCAGAAAAGATCAGGGAGACTTGGGTTACAAGCCGATCAGACTCCTCCCCCATCCCTTCTCCTGAAGCATCAGGTGCCGACCGTGGCACACAGCTTCCTGGCACCTCCGGACCTTTGGTTTCCCCAGGAGCCCATGGACATTCTAAAACTACAGCCCAGGGCTTCCGAAACGCGGGAGCGTAATTCAAAAGAAAAAAGGGCAGCTAAGTCACAGGGCAAAAAACCAACACTGACAGTCTACTTCTCCAAGGCAAGGGTTTCCAGTCCAAGCAGTCTATGCTGGGCTCGACAATGAAGCCAGCCCTAGACCGGCTCCCCGAGTCAAGTCAAGGAAGGGGTCTTGAATTATTTAAGTCAATGAAGACAAATGAGTGATAAATAAATAAATAAACCTACCACCTACCTATACATACCTATACATATGATTCAATTTAGGAGCCCTGGTGGTGTAGTGGCCACATGTTGGGCTGTGATCCATCTGGAAGGCCAGCAGTTCGAAACCTCATAAGAGTTACAGTCTCGGAACTCAATGACATCAACTCAATGACAGTGAGTAAGCGATCCTTCAATTTATACACACACACACACACACACACCCGCGAATGCACGCTTGCTTCCAAAAATGTGGGGGGAAATTCCACAATCTCTTTATTCCATTTTTGGAAGGCCTTATGGACAAATACATATATTCTGTGGAAGTTCATTGCAATCAGCTCAGATGTCAGACGTCCTGACTCCCCATTGGGATGTGGAACATTCAAATGGGGCCCTTTGCAAGCACACGCTCCCCAGACCTGGAGAGTGATGCGGAGAGACGTGCAGAAGGCTGGTCTAGCAAAACACCTCCAACAGCCGTGCCACACAGGCGCCCAGACACGCTTTCTGCTGCCTAATTCTCCTTTCCTCCCACTTTGTCAGGTATAGAGATGAAGTAGTATTTCATATCCCATGAATAACTCTATTAGAAAAACAGTGATTTGGTTCATCAAGAGCTTTTCCATTTCTCTACTGTAATCTATAGGCCCAATTCGGCCAGCCACTTGCTTCTGAATGATCCCAGGGATGAGAACAGATTTGACATTTAAATGAGGGGTGGTGGGGTGGTAGTAAGATATCCAGTCAGAGTGACAGGCCTTCACAGGGGCCTGATTTTTAGTAGGTCGCCCAATCGTCGGTTCCTTCCTCACCCCTGTGTGAGGAAAACATCCTTGATCCCATGTCCAATGTAATGAGATTCGGAACAAGCTGAAGGAGATAGAGGTCAGAAGCTATACTTGAGCCCAGCTCTCTGCTCCCAGCAGTGTGCCAGGAAGGACACCCTACTTCGCAGGCCTCCAAACCACATCCTTATAGACAAAAAGTCACTTTGCCACATCCGCAGTTCCTCAGGCACGGCCCCTTAGGGCACCCTGTGCTGCTTAATAGGGTCGCCCCTGGCCATGTAGGGCAATTGATATTTAAATTCGTATTAAGTTAAATGGTGAATTTTACTAATTCCTTTTCTCATCACACTTCCAGCTCTCAACACTGACAGGCTGCAGCCACTATGGAGAACAACTTCCATTTCTGTGGAAAGGTGTGGTGCCGCCCGCCCGAGGGCTAGTCTGTGATTCATAATCACACCCACAATGCTGTTTTCAGAGTCTGGGCATTTGCACCAACAAGGCAAAAGCAATGGTAGGCACCATTGCTAGAAAGCCCTTCAAGGTGGCCATTCCAAACTGTACCTCATAGTCACTACACCCTTAGCTGCAGCGCCAGCCCTCAGCACACCCTTGGTGAGGTGGTAAAAATGACCAATTTCACGAGACCTCAAAACAGGCACGCACACACTCGTGGGAATCCGCGTAAACCATCTCCACTGCATGCAATGGTTGGTTCCAGAGCGGGCCTGCTGGGTGCTGAAGTAGCTGTGGTGGTTTTTAGTGGTGGTTGTTTTCAATGCAATACCACAAAACTCAAAACAGACAGACAGAACATCTGGCAGACACTCAGATCCAAGTATTTGAAAAAGTGAGTTGTTCCTTCAAAGGCAAATGATCATATTTGCTGTCACTGGTGAAATGAGGGTTTTCAAACAAAAACTTTAATTTTAAAAACATTGGTTTCTCAAAACTGTGGAGCCTTTTGCTTTTTTTCTGTCGAGTCTTTTGAAGAGACTATACTGGTAATAACAAGTGTGATTTTTAACAAAACCATTATATAGTGCAGCATGCCAACACCTGGGAAGTCTGTAAAACTAAGAGGAGCAGTCACTTCCAAGAGACCAAGTGACAGGTCACCGGTGGTCTCTCACCACAGAGCATGCAGTGTACAAGCTGCAGATGCAGATGCCACAGCCCAACTGGTCTTTCAGAAACCATCATTACTTGATGAGTTTTGGTGTGGCATCAAATGAATCCAATGGAATTTATGGGCACCAGGTTAATAATATTTGCTGCATTTTTAAATGAGCACTTAAAATCTGTTCTCAGTTGTAAGTTCTTGGGCAGGAAGTAAGGACTGAATGAGCCCTGAGGGCGCAGTGGGTTAGGTGTTGGGCAGTTAACCCCAAGGTCAGTAGTTGTAACCCACCAGGCTCTCTGTGGGAGAGAGATGAGGCCATCCAGCTTCTCCTTTCATAAAGATTCACGGCTTTGGAAATCCTAGGGAGCAGTTCTTTGACCAGCAGGGTTGCTATAGGTCAGAGCTGGCTCAAGGGCAGCTGGCTTGGGTTGATGTACACCACCAACAAAAACTCCCTGGGGCCCTAAATGTTGGTACATACTAGAAAGGAGACTGGGGCCAGACAGCACATTTGAGATGTGCTGAACCACAAGAGCTCTAGAGCCTCCTGGCATCACCACCCAGTACAAGTTCCTCAGACAACCGGGGCTTCCTGAGCCCTTCCTGCCTCATAGGTCCAGCATCAATCGACATTTTCCCAATACCTTGTTACCTCATTCAGTTTACCACGGCTCTAATTTCAACCAACTGCCAGCAGGTTCATCCTACACTCACCACTTCTCTGATCCAAAGGTCTCAGGCGCCCCAACCCCACTGCAGAGAGTCACTGGGCCCTCCTTTCCCCATCACTCCATTGCTACCTCTCTCTGAGTACCCCACCCCTCATTTCTGACTAACACAAACCTTTCCTAATGGCATCAGCAGCACCTCCAAGTCCAGCACACACTCAGACCGTCTAAGGCATTACATTTTCCTCACATCACAGTTTTTTTGGTCATCTTTCAGTAATTCTTCAGGTCTTGCTAAGTAACACCCACCCCAAAACTGCTGTTTGCGGGTGCCATGTAAGAGAGTTACTATTAATTTCAAATGGCTTATATATGCTTTAGAAACTTCTCATTTGCTGCTCAAAGACCCAGGAGCCAACTTCCCTTCTGGCTCACCCAGCCCTTAGCATCTCAGAAGATGCTTCCTGCATTGTGCCGGCTTCCCTAAGAGACGTAACTTCCCCCCTTTCCACAGGTAGAACCTCTGGGTCCTGGGGCTGGACAGTGTCCAAAGAAAGAGGTTCTGGGGGGTTGCTGGCAAGAAAGAGAAGAGGGAGATCAGACTGTGTTTCTGTTACACTGTGGTCCTCTGTATGGACTTACAAAATGAGGAAACCGCTTTTGTTCAGCTCAAGAAAGGGAAGCAGCGAGGACCTACTTTTTTTGCGTGGCTGCGAAGGAGACGTGGCCTGGGCGGCTGTGCCATGGGCACCGCTCTCTTCCTCCTCCTTTGCCTCCGCTTTGACTTCAGGCTTCTTCTCCTCCACCTCCATCGGCTCTGCTTTTGGCTCGGCTGTGTCGCTTTCTTCCTTGACTTGGGAAGAGCCTTGTAAATCCCCCTCGATCATCTTGAGGGAAACAAAATTACAGGTCACAACAGATGAGTATAAAAGACCTTTCTTCTAACCTGGCTTCGCGGGGAGGCTCTTAAACGTCCAAATGGGCTCATTACAAAAGCCTTGCCCCGTCAGGGCTGCATTCACTTTCCTCTGTCCTTCCAGAAGCAGGAGTGTCAACAGAGACACTTGTATGTAGCACCAGGGCAAAACCAGGCCTGGTTTTAGTCTTTACATGGGAGAATGCTTACAGAAGAAGAGAATTCACGCGCGCGCGGCCTGGCCCCTGCTCAGCGTTTTCACATAAGGCTAGTTCTAGCTCTGACAATCGGGCCCGGGCGGAGTCAGTGAGGGCAGCAGGGAGTGGGATGAGAGGAAGTGGAGATTCAGGCCCAGCAGAGGCTCCAGCTGGGGCTCAGGTACAGACTGGGGCCAGAGAGGGTGTGCACACCATACTGGCTGAGCGCCTGGTTCTTTTAGAATAGTCTGAAATCTGGAGTTTTCTCTGCAGTAGCCCAACTGTATTTCTTAACAGGCCGGATGCTACCCATTCTACAGTCCAAGCAATGAAACAAGGATGGCAGGGAGATGCTGGCTGATTCACTGATCTCAAATACACAAGATGTGCTTCACATCTGATAAATCAAATATATCCAAACCTCCTCCCGAAGAATGAATAACCAATCTTCCAAACAAAACACCTGACCCAGATGCAAACTCTGAAAACAATAACCAGGGCATTTACAGGGTGTCCCTAGGAAGCCTGGGGGTGCTTCTTCATGTAGCCACCTGTGCCCCTGAGGTAGGGCACCCACCTCCGACCGAGCCTCCCCTTTGGGCTCACGAGGCTCAGGCTCAGACTCCTCCGTCTTGACCTCAGCCTTCACATCGAGCATGGGCACGTCGGGTCCTTGCTGTTGGGAATTGGTTTCGGCGCTGGCCACCGAGGATGGGGTGGGGACCCTGTTATCGATGCTAGCTGCTGCCTGGGAAAGCTGTGGAGACACCAAATAAGATGCTATCAATGGTCTTCAACACCACAGGTCATTAGATGTATAACCTCTGGCTGACACCTCCCAGTGTTGCCCGACCAAGGAACCTTACTGGAGAGAAATGGGGGCCTGTTGTTCAACTGGGGCTCCCAAGGAAGCCGGTCCTCGAGAACGAAGAGCGAAAAGAGGAGCACGTCCTGAATTTTGACAGAAGACCATTTCCCAGAAGTTTCCAACACCAGCTACAGAACCTCCCATTTTAAAATGAATTTCCGCCACGAAGTACATCAATGATTTGGGTAAAAGACTGAATTATAAATACTTAAATATATAGAAAAAGAGTATGTAATTAGCTGGAAATTATAGGGCAAGTGGTAGTGGTGGAGTAAACAGGCAGTAAGAGAAGGAAGCATTACAAGAACTGAAGTATTTCTAAGTCTTAGCCAATGGGGTTTGAATACAAATGTAGGCAACATTAAACCGGAAGGGGCGCTAACTGGAAAGGGAGAGACGGAGGAAGGAGGAGTCAGCATGTCCTGTTGGAGAAACACATGCAATGCCATCTTGGGGTTATGGCTGGGTTCACGGTGACATCATATGGACCAAATAAGCCAAGTGCCCAAGAATAAAGTTCATGCAGCAAAGAGGTCCAGAGCAGACTGATAGGAAAATGGAGCCCGAGGTTTCAGAGGGTGAAAGGGAGAATGGTGTGGCAACAGGACTAGCCTTGGATCTCTGGGTGCAAGCGGGGAGTAGCCTGAGAGAGCGACTCTTTCATTCAAAGGGAAAACGGGAAGCTCAGAACTGCAGGATTACAAGCCTGCTCCACCAACTCAGTTCATGAAGGAGAAAGGGGTTTCTCCAGTCTGGGAAGAAGGCTGACAGCCAGGCAGGGGGACCAAACCGACCTGAGGCCGGAGAGAAACGGCCAGGACTTGGGAAGACACATTTAGAACCAACCAGGGGAACACACGGTTCCGTCGCAGACAGCCTGAGCTTTTCTAGAGATGGCCTGGAGATAACTGCTTGGAAATTACCGGCTTCTGAAAGCGAGTTCACTAGGGGAGGCCGGTCCCAAGTACTCCCCCCGTGGACTAAATGTCAGGGTCGGGCCACTGTGAATTATGATCCACTGCTGGCACATATCCTTCCAGGTGCTGCACCAGAGTGTGACAGCTGGCTGTTTGACCTGGCTACCCTCGTGGTGGTGGGGGGGTGAGGGGTGCTCACCGGCGTGCCGGGCGGCTGAGCGTGCACAGACGTTGGCTGCTGCTGAGATGACTGCGGGGTGGGGACCGATGGAGGCTGCACAGGGGTCGGAGGCTGAGGAGTCACCTGGGCAGGAGCCGTGGCCTGGACCGTCGGGGTGCTCTGGGTCTGGGTGGCACTGGGCACTGAGCCCGGGGTGGGGGTGGGGGTCTGTCCTGATGACGACACAGGGGTAGACGGCTGTGTGGGGGCTGCTGGCTGGGGAGGGGTCATCCCAGGTGGGGTCGGGTGCTGCAGAGATGGCATGCCAGCGGCCGTGGAGGCGGGAGGGGGCGTCTGGTGCAGAGGTGATTGGGTTACTGGTGGGCAAGGCAGCTGGTTGGTCTGTGGCCCCATTATGGTCAAAGGGTTCTGAAGAGCAGCCCCGGGCACCTGTCCCTAAGAAAGAGAAAAGGAGAGAGAGCAGATTAGCATTACCTCCTGCTCTGAGTCGACCAAGTCACATGTACGAGAGGGGTCTTCCTGCTGGCTTCAGAGGCACGTCCAGCCTGTGACCTTCACCAGGTGCACACTGATCACAGTGCTCACACCTCCTGTGCAGGGTGAGCACTACAGATGCTGTCCCTGCTCTGATTACAGCACCAAGACAGACAAAAGACAGATAGACAGACAGACAGCATTTATCAGCTCTGTAACACAGCTCCTCATGTAGAACACACACTGGAAAAGGTCTTTCTCTGTTTACATTAAAAAGGGACTGAGACACTGAGATGTCTCAACTGGTTCTTGGTGGGGACACCATTGAGGATGATTTAGGACTTTGGGGCCAGTATGGCCATCTGAGAGCTACCCAAACACATTGAACCTCACGTGGGGGTTCCTATACACTTTCGGTGCAAAGCTTGCTGGTGGTGTTGAAGCTCTGCTCTAGAGCACTGGGTGGCATACAATGGCCCAAGGGTCAAATCTGGCTTGCTGCCTGCTTTTGTAAATAAAGTTTTATTGGCACACAGCTATACCCTTGCATTTACAAATGGCCTTTTTTTTTTTCGTGCCACAAAATAATATAGAGATGCCTATGGCCAGCAAAGTTGAAAAGATTTACTATTGGGCCTGTTGAAGATAGAATGGTGTCTGTCCATGCTCCCTCTCCTCCACCCCACAATTTTGGGTCAATTTGTTAGGTCACGATTCTCGGTATTATACAACTATCCATCATTTTGCAATTCGATGTACTTATCCTATGTGCTGTAAATCCTGGTCTCTGTGATGTTAATGGAGGCAGGACTAATGGCAGTGATGACACTGAGGCAAGGTATAATCTCTAGGACCAGGGTATATCTTAAGCAAATATCTTTAGAGATATAAAAGAGATCAAGCAACTGAGCAGAAATTAGAGGGCGCTGACTACCATTAAGACAGAAGAGCCAAGGGCAGAGCATTTCCTTTGGACCAGGCGCCTTTGTGCTAGGAAACTCCTAGACCCAGAAGACTGATGCTGAGATACATATATAAATCTCCAAGAAATGCTGGTCCCACAGATGCTGATAGGAGACAAGGACCTTTCCCCAGAAAGCCTTCCTCTGGAGCTGACAGCCTGAATCAGACTTCTATCCTACAAAACAACAAGCGCACAAATGTCTGTTTGTTAAAGTCATCCACCTGAGACAATTTCTGCTGTTACAATAGCACTAGATAATGAAAACATGAAAAGGTTTGCCGACTCCTCTTCTAAAGAAAAGAGATGTAGGAAAAATAAGAACAAATACTTGTTTCATAAGTAACTCGAACATTATTTAAAAACACATTCAACAAGAGAGAGCTGGAGCCACTCAAATGATCCAGTTGGTGTGAACTTAAAGTGGGTGAGGCTGAGCATCCCACCGACAATCACTAGGAGGGCTGGCCAGGCCCCCCTCCTGTGCTTTCAGCAGGCCGGTTTCCCTCAGGACCTCCTGGGGAGTAGAATGTAACACCCCCAACAAAAACCAGTAAGATAACTACAACCTTCAAAGTCCAAAGAAACAAGAGCATGTGCACCAAGACCGTCACAATGCATCCCGCTTCTGCAGGAAGAGCAATTCCAAACCATAAGGGTTAAGGACAAATAGGAAAGATAAAGAAGCCCGGGCACATGAAAATGAAATGCCTAGTCAGGAATTCTCATTTTCATAAATAAGACCTGCTTGTGCCAGTGGGGAGGTGGGGGGAGGCTTGAGGGCAGGATCTGGATATCCACCAGAGGATAGTACCTGCGTTACTCCTGGCTGGGCCGCTGGCTGCCCCAGACCCACGCTGTTCACACTCATGGCCCCGGTGGACGATGGAAACTGGTTCTGCGGCAGGAACTGGCTCTGCGTGGGTGCCTGGGCCATCATGTTGTTGGTGTGTGCACCCATCAGGCTCGAGGGCTGGGGCATTCGGGAAGGTGAGATGGCCATCTGAAAACCAGCAAGTGTACCCAAGGGCGGCCATTCAGAAGCCTGGCCTACCCCTGAGGATCCTGTATCGGGTCCCTAAGACTGCGACTTGCTTCCTGGGGCAATCTCCCAAAGGAGCCAGTGTCCACACTGCTGTGAACAGAGGTCAACAGCCAAGCTTGATGACTTCTCCAAGGTGTTAAGGAAGCATCAGCCTGAAGTGTCAACAGATGTTGACAATTCTTTCCTGGTCAAGAACTGGTAGAGCCCCATGTTCTCAATCCCCTGTGAAAATGCCATTCTGATAGAAATCAACTGTGGCCACATAGTTCTCCTTTCACTAGTGAAAGCAGTAAAATATTGGAGCAATACAGCATAACTCAAATTTGAGCGAGCAAGTACCCCATGGTTATCAGATAACAGCTATGCGTTTCCAGTAATATCTGCGTCTGCTTTCCAGGCCTCTGGTCACAACCCCACAAAGCCAATTATATTAAAAAGTCCATTGGCTTGTAATACCAAATCCACATTATTATTCTGGACTATGTGTACCTGGAAACGTTTCTTGAATGGTACATACAGGCACTAAGGCAAACACCGGACTGACTGATATTTGATACAAACTGTCACTAGCTGTTCATTCCCATTTCCTTACACATTCAGTGTAGGATTAGCATTTGTTGGTAATCTGGGGGCTGTCTGCATATAGTATGAGGTTCACACCACATCCAAATCACGTAAGGACCTACTTTACAGAAAGTATGGCAACACATCAACTACGCATATCTGAATTTTGGGCACGATCAAGGCAAGCCCAAGCACTTACCCCTGGAACCGAGGCCAAGCTGTTCATCTGGACAGAGTGGTTCATGGGGGAGGCTGCGCGAGGTCCCATGGCAGCTTGTGGCAACTGCACGTTCCCCAAGTTCATTGGGTTAAACGAGCTCATCCCTGTAAGAAGGACCAATAGTGGTTGAGAGACGCACCACAGCAAAACAGAATCACACCTCAAAGAAAACGGGGGAGAAGTGAGATGGTACACACATGTGACAAGTAAGATCAAAGGCATAGGAGAGAGAGCACCGAGACTCAGGAGACAGAAGGACTAAGGAAAAGGTGCAGCCGCCTCAGAACAGTGCCTCCAACACCCTCCCTAGCATCTTCTACCCCACCTGCTGTGAGCAGCCTGGCTTCCATGTCTTCACAGGCATTGCTAGAAGACAGGACGTAAAACTTGTCATTCCACTTTCCAAGCATCCTGAGCGTGCAAAAAGTGCCGAGGGGCTGGCAGTTCTCAGAGTCCTCTCGACTAGAGGATTCACCTCCTTCTCCCCTCATTTCCCAGGAGATAACACCCATCTGAGAACACTTCCAGCCATTTGAGGGAACGCAGTACTTTGAGAATTCTGAGGACTAAGAAGTGCCCGCCAGAGTCAATCTTGGGAAGTGCTATCTCACCACGGGAGTAGCTGCGAGGGTCTCCGCGAACCCACTGCCCAAGGCACTACCTTCCCTGTCACCTCAGACCCGAGGAGCAGCATAAACCCAGAAGGGCTTTGCAGTCTGTAAGAGAAACTTTACCCCTCTCCTCGAGGACTTTATTAACTAAGTCAGAGAAAAAGACACTAAGAAACCACACCAAAAACACTCCACAGCCCTGCCTGGGGAGAGGGGATGTTGAGTGGTTAGCTGTGAGTCGTCTCTTGCAGTGTTTAGCTATATAGCTACCTCAGCACACCCAAACCAGCAGTGCTTCCTATAGGGACCATAAGCCACGTCACCCCCAGCAGGCCCTTCAGCACTTTCCTGAGGCTCACCCCTCCTGTCCCAGGCCCAAGACCAGCCCTCAGAGTTTGTTCTGGGATGCCAGTGCCTTGGCCACAGCTGTTCCAGTCCTCTGCACAGACAGGACCACAACCTTCCAGAATGCATGTTTATTCCGCCAGCTGCCTTTCCTTAGAACCTTCTGGATCACCACTCTGTCCCACAACCTATAAATACATCAACTCTGTCAAGGGCTATAAGAGCTTTCAAAAGTGGCCTTTCCAAATCCCCATGATAAAAAACAGTGGCTTTGACCAGGGAAGTTGTATTCAATTCTTTCATAAACACCACCTGGGCAGGTTGTTTAAACTAGTGCTGCCCCCTACCTCCTGCCCCCAAACTGAGGCAGAATCTCTCCATCTACAAACTCTCCTCAAATGGAAGCCTACCGGGGCTTGGGCACCTGCTCTGGTTGCAGCACTTGGCATTCCTCACTTCCAGGGCTGCTCTCCCACAGACCCGCTTGCCTCTCCTACCTTCAGAAAAAGGACCTGCCCATTACAAACAAAGGTGCTCCCTTCTTCCCATCTCATCAGAGCTCTTCCCTGTGTGACCTCTGAGTCTCCAAACACAACAGGTCAGCGCTGCCCTTAGAATGGACGTCAGCAAAAATAAACAGAGAGGAAAAATAGCAAAGTGAGAACACCACCACCACAGAAGCAACATAGAAATTACAGGAGACGAAAACAAGACCAATGGCTACAGCTGCAGTAAAACCCCAGCAGGACACAAGACAATGGTGACATACCCTGAGAAACCTGCATGCGGTTCACCGGCATGGGGAGGGGTCCGTCTGAAAGAAGAGGGGGTAAAAAGAGTTCAATAGATTCATTTTGACTTCAGAATACGGGATTTTCTCTGAGGATGATTTCAGACTTAAAGGGAAAATACAGCCCATGATATTTTCTGATGGCAGTCTCCCCACGAGAGAGCCTCAACATTTACAAAGAGCCTGCACACAGCTCGTGTCATTACAGCAGGAACAGCTCGGAGGCAAAGTCCCTGCCACCGGGGCTTTGCGATGAAAATGCTACATTCTTAGGAATACACTGGGCACAGAGGAGGAACCATATGAACCCACACGGGCTGGAAGGAGGCCCTTACTTGGAGGCCGCACAGGCTGTCCTGGTGGAATCCCAGGGGGCTGGGCTCCTGGGGCTGGGAGGGCTGGCTGGTTACCCAAGATGCCTTGCTTATGTAAACGTGACCTCCGCTTTTCTTCTAGTTCTTTCTGTATTTTGTAGATTTTCTCTGCCAACAAATGATAGTACTCGTCCTAAAAAGCAATAGCAGTCAACATGAGGCGGTGAAGACTGTACAAATTGATGAATGGTTTAAACCATGCATGCTGCCAATGCCAGTTTGCATTTGTAACTAATAAACCAAAGGCCCCCCCATTCTTGCTGACTTCCCCTTGACTATAGCAGACAGTTGAACTATTTGCACACTGCATTTCTTCCCACCGCTGGATGTGCTGGGCAGTCACTGCTGTCAGCCACAGAGGAGAGCCTTCTGCCCAAGGCCACCCCACAGATGCCAGGCCATTTCATCTACCTTGTCCACCACGAGCGCCTTCCATGTGGACATCTCCCTAGTCACTCTCCTGGTGCTTCCTGGGCCCCAGACTGCTAAGTCTATCCATGCTATGGAGGCTGGGACAGCAAGCGGCAACTTACCCGGCTGTTAGCTGACTCGTACATGTCCCCCTCCACTTTCTTAGCGTAGGCGACCAGATTCTCCATCCGGCGATCCTTCAGTGCTGCTGGGTCAGGAGTTGGGAAGATGGCTTGGACGCTGAAAGAACAAAGCATTTCATCGGCCTTCTCCTGAATTAGTCTGACAGCACCTACAAGATCCTCACAGTGGCCCGGAACGCTGAGTGCCACAGCGGGTTGAAATTGCAAGCAACACCAAAGTCACTCCCTAGGAACAGTACTGATCCGCCTACAGGCCAGACACAGTGACACTTGCTAATAACTAAGTGCTGGGCCTGACATAAGAAGCATTTGATTTCAAACTCCTGATTTTTAAACCATTATGAACCAATGGTCTGACTGACATCTGTTTGATGGTAGGTGCTGGCAATCTTACAGACAACAGAATGAAACACGCCGTCTGCATGATATCATACTTGCTATATTTACGTCTCCTGTTAAACTAAGGAAGGAAAAGAATTTGATGGGAATCTAGCCAGTTACCTTCACCTGTAAGTTAACTGGCTCAAAAAGGCACTTGCTGGATGGTGAGAAGTACAGCCATGCCACCTGTTTTTAGCTGACCACCTGCGCCCGTGGCAACAGTGATCTTCTTTGAATAAGACACGAGCTGACACTGACCCAGGCCAGCTCATATGCCCCAGGGCTCCGAGGCCCAGGCCGCCCGCCCACTGAGGAGCCCTGCCTTTGAAACTGGCCTTGACAGCATTGTTCTGTGGTGTAGAACCAAAGACATGTCAATTCTCCAGGACCTGGGGCCTAAGAGGCCCTGTCCTGCCCATCAGTGGTGGCTGTGGCTCTCAAAATAAGCATGCGGGCAGGGAGGGAGGGGCAAAAATGAAGAGCTGATACCAAGGGCTCAAGCAGAAAGCAAATGTTTTGAGAATAATGATGACAACAAATATAAAAATGTGCTTGACACAATGGATGTATGTATGGATTGTGATGAGTTGTACGAGCCCCCAATAAAATGATTTAAAAATAATAAGCATACGAGGACTATCACGGCAAGCCCAGTGGATGCCACAGGAATGAAAGCAGACATCCATGAGACTGTAAAACTGCCACATTGCTTTCAGCCACTGAGTGCCCCCACCACGAGTGACTCCCGGCCAGACACGTACAGTTTATGCACGAGATGGCTGCGCAGGTCCTGTGTGACGTGTTCGTGCCAGCCTTTCCGGACGCCGGTGCTGGAAGGCGGTGCTGCTGTGGGTATGGTGCTGAGGGTCCCCATGTTCCCAGAGTTCGAGCCATCGTTCATCAGTGGGCTAGGGCAGAAAACAGAACCTTGTCCACTTACCGGAACGACTAGAAAGTCAGCTTCCTCTTCCACCAACGTGGACCCACACAGAACCACCCTGGCACCAGTTTCATCTCTCATCCATTCACAATCCTAAGAATGGCATTCTCCAACCCCCACCCTGTTGAAATTGTCATCTGGACCACACATAAAAAGACCAACCAAGCCTTGGGAACTTCCTTGGCCAGTTCTCAAGTGCGACATCACTTCTCTGCATAAGCCAATTGAAACGTGGGTCTTACTTGGTGGTCCCAAGGGACGTTGGAAGACCGGATTCTGAAATCAAGTTTGGTGGCTGCTGATCTGTTGTTATTCCTCCTGCTGGAATGTTCATTGGGTTCGTTCCTTTGAAAAAAATGAAGGGGGTAGGGGGAGAGGCCATTAACCAATTAACAATTTTTTGATACTAGTCAACACACACACACACACACACACACACACCCCTGGTCATCGTCGTCGTCCTCCCCCACCCCCCTACCAGTAAAGTAACTTGGATGCATTGGGCTCCCGGGAGATATGAGCAGATTCAGTGGGGTGGGTTCCTTCCCATCCTCCCCTGGGACCATATCCCATACTTCTATGGAGGCTCACCCCAAACCCACTGCCATCAAGTCGATCCCGACTCATGGTCACCCTGTAGGGCAGATTAGAACTGCTCCCTAAATCTCGGAGGCTGTCAATCTCTGTAGGAGCAGAAAGCCTCACCTATCTTCTGAAGAGTGACTGGTTGGTTCAAACTGCTGACCTTGTGATTAGCAGTTCAATGTCTAACCCACTACGCTACTAGGGCTTTTTGTCTGAGGACAGTGGCTAGCTATGGTCAAGGTCATAAAGGCAGCCTCAAAGGAACAAGGTTCTATGGTTGTCAGACCCTAAACAACTATGTTGACCTGCCACAGGCCTTTATCAACACCTCAGAGAAGAAAATGATCAGAACTAGTAGGAGGGTTTACAAAAACCCGTAAGAGGTCAATGGTCCCGAGGCTTTCCTTTAAAGGAGGACTAAGGTGAGGCTCAGAGTCAGTTAGTGGTCTTACACTACCAATGAGCGGTGGCGCTGGATCTCGGGCCTCCAGGCCAGCCTCTTCCAGAGCACCTTTCCCAAAAAAGCTCATGAGATGGTCCGAGCAATCATTCTGAAGAGTGCAGTGCTCACTTTGCCCTCATTTGGCACCAGTCCTATAATACCACAGGCCTTCCTGGTACCCCATGTCGATGTTTCACAGGACTGAGGTGTGGAGGAAACCATGGAGAGTGCATCGTGCAGAGGTGGCAGATGTGGAGGCGCATGAGCAGTGGCCTCGAGTGCCCGGTGATGGGCTGAGTGAGAAGACACCAGAGCATCTAGAAAGCTCAGATGGGAGGTCTTTGCCGACCTCAGCTTGTTGGGAGCCAGCAGACCAGCTTACTGAATGCTAGCGCCAGGAGCACACAGAGCCTTGGCCCAAGAGCCTCAAGCACCACTGCCCACCAGAGGCAGTGAGGCTGGCTATACACACAGACATGCTGACTCGTCACAAGCTCCTTCTTCACTCGTACTGTCCTCTCGCGTCACACACCTGGGGCTTTTCCTGGAAGCTTGTCATCGTGGCCACTTAAAGGATACCACGCCGCCACTACATCCACTGCTGTCAGGGTACCTCAGGCTCTTAGCTGCCCCACAGGGTTTCTGGCACTGTGAATCTTTACAAGGGGATAGCCTCACCTTTCTCCCACAGAGTGGCTAGTGGGTATGGACTGTCATCAACCTTTCCGTTAGCAAGCAAGCACTTAACCCACTGTGCCACCAGGCACCTGCAACCACCAGGTTAAGAGTCCAGCCCGGCTGTCAGGGAAGCTGGGGGTAGGGGGTAGAGGGGGTGGCAGCAGGGGAGAGAGGACTTCACCTACCCAGAGGATTGATAGGCCTCATTTGCTGGTGAGTCTGCGGCTGTGCTGGCTGCTGGCCGGGCACCGGAGGCTGCAGCTGTGTCTGGGGCTGGTTCATGTAGGGCAGTCCAAGGGCCGCGTAAGCCCGCTGCATGGAGCTGGGGTCGATGGGGTTCGGGTTGCTTAGAGATGTGGCATTCGGCTGGCCCGTGCCAACAGATCCAATGGGGCTTTGAATTCCACTCGCTGGAGACCCCAGGATGGCTACAACAACAGAAAGAAAAACAAAACGTACGTCATAAGGGGGAATATGTCCCGTGAGTGACTTAAAAACCACTGAGGCGCAACTACAGTTATACCCACAGCCTGTCACAGGGCGCCCAGACAAGACTTCTGGGAAAGGGGTTGTGCAGAGCTGTGAGCAGAGAAGCCCACCCTGTTCATCTAGCTTGTCTGGCCCTAGCTGAGGATCACAGGACCTGGGGCATGCCAGGCCTCCATCACAGAAAGCTTCAAGCCTGAAGCCGAGACCCCTCAGCAAAAATGAATACGTATCAGCCTCGAGACTCGTGGAGTCAGTCCGAGGGGAGCAGCCAACATGTCACAATGTCCGGTTTCTGTGCTGTCGTTTTTATTGCACTGTGCTAGGAACGCGCCTCACACAGTCTGCCCCTCTGGGGCGTTAGATCCTTCTGCTACTGGCGACTGAGCTACGGGAAGTGTGTGTCCACACGACAGCATTGCATTTCCTTGGCACCTGCACGTACAAGGACACACCACCCATCAGCACCCTACACTGGCTACAGGGACGCTCCCAGAAATGATCTCAATGCACCGACTGGTCTGGCAGCTCTCATGCTGGCATCTTCGGGTCCACTGCACATGGCTATTAGTGGAACAATGAGGACATTCCCTCTGCTGCCCCAGAAGACAAAGAAAAATTCTAACCCCTGGGCTCCAGAGTTCACTGAGGGTTGACTTCCACTCTATATTGTTGGCCATTTCAAGGTTGACCCATCCACTCACCCTCCATCCAACTCCCCCACTGCCATCATGTGGTGAGTAGTGAACTCCTGGTAGGAGTTTCAAAGCACCCTAATGAGCCTTACTGTGAGGCGGTCCTTCCTAGCTAATTTGTCCGAGCTTCAGGGTCACAACATCATGCCCTATGGTTTCTGGAATGGCTACAGAATGCGTGTTCGTGCATATGCCGTCCTGGGGCCCTTTTCCCCAAACTCAAGGCACCACTAGGTGTAACGGCCATGCTTGCACACACACTCCACCACGAGTGTGACGCTCGCCCGAGCAACTCCAATACTTAGCACGAGAAACAACACCAAACCAAATGGGTTTTAAAAAATTGTGGTAATTACATATTCCACACTATTAACTTTTCTAATAAGGATATTCCGATCTCAAACTCATTAGCGCTCATTAGACACAATTATACCCCAAGCACCTATTATAAATGAAAAGTAATTCCCAAGAGGCAGTTTCTGACAAGTGTGCAGCTGAAATACACCATACATACAGTATCTTGAAAAGTCTTTTCTTCTAGTAGGTAAACTTTAAAGATGTACTGTACTTCTGAAACTGACATCCCGAATTTCCTAATAGAACTATGATGTAAGAGGCCCAGTAGAGGCTGAAGGACAACTTGCTCTGATCGGTCTTGGGAACGGTAGGAGAGATCAGTTTGAAGTTATATTTGAGGTGCAGAGCGATCAAAGAGAGGGGACAAAATGCAGAGCGGGGAAGTGAGGGGATAAAGGAATCACGTAGCCTTGTATTCTGGACAGCGAGCGAGGCACTTACTGAGCATGTCTTCCTAGTTTATTCCATTTCTCTCTGCTCCCCCGCATATGGCACCCATTTGGTCAAAATGCCTCACCTTTAGAGTAAGTGTCATTCCTAAGCCCAAGGCCACTTCTGGAAGCTGTGGGTACAGTCGGTATATTTTGTATTTGCATTCAAAGCATTCATTTTCTAAATGTAAATATAATTTACACACACATTTGATGTGTGTATTATGCACACATAGTGTATTACACATTACTTTAAAGAAAATACACATCTATGAGAAGACCAGCAAATATCTAAAACCTGACATTTCTAAAACTTCTGAAGGAAAACAAATCACAAATGAAAAGGTCCCTGATATTTCAGTGAGGCCAAGTGTGCCCCAAAAGGTGAGAGGAAAGAAAGGAGGGCATCCACTGCGGCGGACAGTGGAGTCCCTATGGAAGGCCCCCAGACTCTGACTTTTGACCAGCTCCTCGGTGACGCTCTCGTGGCGGATCTGCTGACAGTGGCCCTTCTCTAAATCCCCACGGTGCCTGCTGGGGCACTGTGTCTCCACAGGCATGTACCCAGGAGGCATCCAATCAATCGCTCTTACATTCAGTAACCGGGCAAGGCTCTGGGGTTTGGTGTGAGAAAACACCATCTGTGCTCTCAGAATGTAGGGTCAGTGGATGGAGCAGTGGCTTCTCCCAAGTGTAGCGTGGGGGCCATCACAGACAACACTTCTCCCTGTGTCCTCGTGGGGCAGGATCGGCAGGAAGCCACTGCGGTGTCTGACTGCTGAGCTCATGGGAGGAGTTCAGGGGCGTTGTGGTGTGGGTCTACTCTGTTTTGACGCATGGTGACCCTCTGCAAAGCACAGCGAAACACCGTCCAGTCCTGCGCCATCCACACATGGTTATGTCCGATCCCATCATGGCAGCCACCGTGTCAATCCATCTAGTGAAGGGTCTTCCTCTTTTCTGCTGCCCATCTATTTTGTTATTCATGGTGTCCTTTTCCAGGGACTGGTCTCTCCAATAACATGTCTAAAGTATAAGAGACGAAGTCTTGAGAGCCATGTTCCTAAGAAGCATTTTGGCTGTGCTTCTCCCAAAGACAGATTTGTTTGCTTTTTGGGTACTTTTAATGTTCTTTGCCAGAACCATAATTCAAATGCATTGATTCGTTGGTTTTCCTTAGTCAATGTCCAACATTCTCAACTTTCTCTGAAAAGACCATGGCTTAGGTCAGACACACCTTAGTCCTCAAAGTAACATCCTTGCTTTTCAACACCTTAAAGCAAGTCTGTGCAGCAGATTTTCCCAATGCAGGTTGTCTTTTGATCTGATGACTGCTGCTTCCATGAGCACTGACTGTGGATCCAAGCAAGACAAAATCCTTGACAACTTCAATCTTTTCTCCATTTGTCGTGATGTTACCTACTGGTCCAGTTGTGAGGATTCGGGTTTTCTTTACATTAAGTTGTCCTTCACATTGAAGCCTGCAATATGCACCTACTTAAATAACACACAGCCACTTACTAAACTACTGAACAAGGGGGTTGTGCGGTTGTAGTGGCAGCCCGGTATAACTCCAGTGAGATTTACATAAAAACATGGTGACTTGCGTTTTCCACGTGACTGGTGTCCGTTTCTCTCTTTACAAGGCAGAACCTGTTGGGGTCTTCACCATCTCCATTGTTCACACACAACCCAGGCTCTGGGAACACAACCTGGCTAGCCTCTTCTGTGCTGGTGACCTCCCATTTCTGCCATTGGCAGAGCTGAGGGAGCCCCACCCCTTCCCTGCATTACTACTCTCTTCTTTTGGTAGCTAAATTAGGCACCCAGTACCTAATTAACAGTAAACTCAAGCTTCAGAGAGGGCCTGCTCAACCTGAAAGCCTGATGTCCCATTCATTCTCAGTTCAATGGGGCCACTGGGCGAAAAATGGACAGGATACATTTTCAAGTTCTATAAGGGGTGTGTGAACACTGTGTGCAGGAGGCAAAGGAGAGGGCTATGACTCGTTGCTAGTCAGTCATGACTTCCACATCCAAAGAAAGAGCTATGCTTGAATGTCCCTTGTAAGCTGTGTGCGCCAGGCCTCCAGGCCAAGAAACCACCCAGCCAGGGCATAAAAACCCTAAGCATGACCACTCTCTACCCTATCATCACCTGCCATCAGTACTGTACATCCCATGTGTGTAGCTCTGATTTAAGCTCCTTGAAGGAGGAGCCACGTAACCCGGGGTCAGAAGAGCACCAGCACAATTTGCTTTAGGAAATGAGAACTAACGAGAACACCATACAGAGCACTGCCCTCACTCAGGAGGACACACAGCTCCCTGTGGCCAGAGCTCCGTGCTAGAGCCAACAGCGCAGCGCCTCTGTGAGCAGGGCTGCACCTGAGAGACCGTCTCAAATGCTCGTGCCTAGGGCTTTCAAGAGCCTACCAACTCTCCATGATCTTTATCACTTCAATCTTCTCTACCACTGTCTATTATCAAGTCACCCAGATGACACCTTCCTTGTGACTAAGAGCAAACTGTGGTTTACCACTTGAGAGAGCATGCACCAAATCCATTTTCACACTGTTAGGGCTGTCCTGAGGATGTCAGAACAAAAAACCCACAAGCACACCTAAGTTTCTTTTCCTTTTAAAAATTCAAAACCACATAAGCATTTCTTAAAAAAATGAAAGAAATTGCACGCTTGCCGTTGCCGTGGCAATACAGGTGAACCACAATACAGATTCACAACAGAGAGGCCACACCCCACACTAACCGCTCACTGCTGCTCAACAGTCTCTGTTCGTGAACTCCCACTGCAGGGCTCCAAACTACACCAGCGTTTTACCACTTATGACATGTGTTACTGAAATGTGTACCAGCAGATCACAATGATCATGATACATTACTAGCTGCTGCTGTGACTTTTTTTTTAACGTTTTACACTAACTTGGAGGAAACACAAACTGTACCTCATTAGAACAACTGCCCCAAACTTCTGCTTCTGAAAGACCCAGACCCCTAGAACTTTATGCAAGAGATGGCCTGGAAAATTGTGTAGGAATTAAAAAGCCAACTGAATTGATTTAGGAAGCTGACTTTGAAAGGAAACTGAGGATGACTCCTTTTGTGGGTGGGGAGGTAACTGGGCCCACCCCTAACACCCCTCCCCTCTAAGGTCTGGACTGTGGTGGGAGCAAAAGAGACCCTGCATGCTGCCGTGGGTGCCCTGCTCCATGGAGTCCCGAGGAACACTATGTTTCTTGGGGCCTCGCTGCCATTTCCCACAGCGCTGCGCCCGCCCGCCGCCGCCCCCCCCCCCAAACAAAAAGAAAAGCAAGGAGCGAGTCTTCTCCTGGCAGCAGCGGGGTCTTGAGGAAGATGATCGAGAAGAACGAGTGCCATGAGCACCTAACATGCACACAAGTTGGCGGAGGGCTGGTTAGGTAAGACCAAGAACAGGCTTATGCGCAGTGAGTGAGAGTGACAGATTGGGGGCACCTTATAACTGGCCAGTGGGGAGAAGCACCAAGAGCAGAGTTTCCTCTGTGAGAGTAGTACAAAGGGTGCCATGGGAAACAACATCCACGCTCCCTTCAGCATCAGGCAGGGGGCCTCTGACTGACAGGGCCTAAGTGACCCCCTGTGCTAAAGGGCTGCCCAGCTGACTCCAAAGATGTTTCACCAAACAGCAAGCCTTGGTTGGAGGCGGCTAGTCCTGGGGCCGCACCACAGGCAGGAGGAAGGCCTCCCGGGGCTGTCATGGACTGAGACAACCCAGTCTGACGGGCTCGCCTTCACACACACGGTAGGATGAGTGTCCCTGTATATCCTAGAAGATCCTTCTCACGGCAATGGAAACCCGAGGTATCAGATGCTCGATTTACAACTGGCCACAGGGGTGGCACTGGCCTGGGCAATGGTTCCCTTCTGGTGGGCGTGGGTCAGAGTTCAAACAGCTGGCAAATGACAGAATGCCAACAATCGTGGCCACACATTCAAACTCTCAGATACTGGCATTTAGGAAGGGGAGTAGGGAATCTGGGCTTGGTCTCCATGGCTGGCCCCTCTGTGACTACTCCTTGGCTACCACACCAAGTGCCCAGAAATGGGGGACAGTGACCAGAAGTCCGTACCCATTACACCCTTGATGTCCCCAGAGGACAAGTCTGCCTGCCTCAGCTTGACACTGGGTTCCCTGGTCTCTAGCTTGCGTACCTTTGCTGACAACTAGCCTGCCTCCGATACGCGCCCTGTGGCCTCTGGGCAGAGCGGGTTTTCTGGTCTACCCCCAGTGCTCACTTACTTTGTTGGTTTCGCTTGTCACTGGCATTTTTCAAAGGGAGGCAAACAGGACAGTCATGTCGTGTGCAGTTCTTCCAATGAGAGATGATTTGTCGTGAAGATGCACAATGGGCAACTATGACCAGAAAAACAACGAGATGTTATTTTTCCATCCAAATCGTCACACTTCATTATACCTAAATTATAATGCCAGAGTCCATAAGAAAATGGAAACAAGTGTAACTATAACACAGGACAGGCCGGTCTCGACTTACAAATGGGCCATTACCCAAAATGTTTGTAAGTTGATGGTGGAGAATTCCAAACAAAAACTTCCCACAGAAGCAATGTTATGGAGGATGGGTGGTTACGGTTCAGGCCAAAAACAAAAACAAAGCAAAAACCAGTGACCCTGAGATACGGAGCGAGGTCAGGAAAAGGAGAACATGGATATAGTTCTGCCACGTCACTATTTTAAGGTAAAATGCCGAGATTTGTTTAAAGAAGAAAACCAGCAAACAGTGTAGGTGAAGAACTGAGGGCAGAGATGCCGCCGGGCAACCAGGGGCTCAGGGACCTTGGCAGCATGGAAGTGCTTCTGAGGGCGCAGATCCTGGCCACTCCCGCCTTGGTCTTCATCTCAGTCTCATGGTCTAGCCTTGCCCCATTGCTTCCTTGGGGACTCACAAGTGCCACCGAGGGAGAGGGAAGACAGGGAGAGGATTTCCCATGGCTCAGGAGCACGAGGAAGCAAAGACGGAAGGAGGACACTGATGAAAGGAGAGCACAGCGCTTGATCAGAAGGGCCCTCTGGTAGAACCAGGGGGTCTGCTGGAAGACAGGGGATAAAGGAGGCAACAGGATGGCGCCCGGCCTGGGTGGCCCAGCCACCACCACACAGGTGGACAGTCAGCAGGGCGATGCTGCTGTTCTCCTGAGGAGCCTCAAGAGGGAAAGGAAGAGTGCCAGGCGGGGGTTCCGGAGGTCGGAATACAGGAAACAGATGCAAGACAGATGCTCTGTGTCTGCTGGTGTGTCAGTGTGTGTGCGTGCACGTGCGTGTGCGAGCACCCTAAGTGGCCTGCCCAAGAGAAAACTAGGGCCTCGATGTCTGTAGGGAAGACAGTGCTTCGAAGGGACAGAGGGAAGGCGGCGCGAAGAGCACACTCAGGGCACAGCTTCCTCCAGTGTAGCTTCCCACACACTACGAATGCAGCTGCCTCTGCCCTCGGCTGGCAAGGGGCCGTGTAAGGGAGAACTCGAGAAAGGTTCCTGGCTACCCTAGAAGGCTGCCGCCTGTTCACTTACAAGAGATAACCTCTCACCACTAGCAACTCCAGCACTCCATGGCACCCACCTTGACAAGCTTTCCCAGCTTGGCAATGCGTCATGTGGTTCAAGACATTTTTCATGGTCCGGCAATGAGGCAGGGAGCAGGCCCGGACCTCACCATTGGCTTGCTCTCGCCGCTGACACTTGTGGGCGTGGAGCAGGAGAACGAGCTGCTGCTGAATCAGTTTGCGCTTCTCTGGGTCAGCAGTTGGGCCCGTGGCGATCGCTTGTGTTGGTACGATTCCCACTGATGTCTGCATCTGAGACTGAAAGGAATGGGGGTGGGGAGAGAGAGAGAGAGAGAGAGAGAGAGAAAATCAAACTTCCCCAATAAAATCAGAGGTCAAGGTCATGTTCATTCATTGTATTTTCAACCCATGGTTGAGTTGATGGACCTGTGTGATAAATGCTGCTGTGTGATCAGTCTGCCACCCATGGGTGGAGGCCCGTATGCTTCTCTGGAGCCACACTAGTCTCTATGAGACAAAGAAGCATGGCTCACTGAGGCCCACTTGCACATCTTGCCATCGGAGCAAGCAAATGCCTCGTATTCACAGCCACTGTAATCAAAACCCAATTCACACCGCCAACCTGATCGCAGGAAGAGCTGTGCGGAGTGTCTGGCTGACCCACGTGCAACCATTGCTACATCTGCAGCCTTTGGCACTCCCCAGGGGCCAAAGCTGGGTTCCTTCATTTGGTACAGCCTCACTGGCGAGAAGGGCCTGGTTGGACCATTTGCACAGTACAGCAAACACCCCACACAGTCAGGAGAGGCGGAGCCATCCTCCAGACTTCACAATCATGTGGCCAGAAGGGCAGTATGCCTGGCCTGCTTTTACATTGTTCCATCCCAAACTGTTGTTGAGTGGATTCTGACTCAGTGAGCCTACAAGGCAAAGCAGAACTGACAACTGCCCCACCTTTCCCCCTTGGAGCCCCTGGAGGGTACAACCTGCCAGCCAACCTTCCAGTTCACCCAACATTTCATCACCCGCAGAGCTACCAGGAATCCATCGCTGTTCACAGGACTCTTCAAAACACACTTTTCCTTAATACAACCAACTAGACAGCATAGTTGATTCTTAGGTTTTAGGAACGCTTTTCCTGCCAATAAAATGTCCACTTGGATGTCTAGCAATCACAGTTGCAAAGTTTTTTTGATGGGCTGCTGAAAAGACAAAAGTTTGGGGTGCTTTCATCTGCCCCCAAACCATGAGCCCGACTCAGGCCCCCTTTCCACTGAGAAAAAAGCACCAAAATGAAGATGTGAACCAGGGCCTTTTAAGACTTGAAAATACCAGCAAGGTGTTCTTTGGAGAAACTTAAACTGAGGAGACTCATGAAAGGAGAGGCACGTGATGGTCCTCGCAGGCAGCAATGCAAACAGAGTCCCCGGAGTTAAAGCTTCTGGATGATGCTACTGCCCCTCAAAGGACGACAGCCAGTTGTGTTTATTTTCAGGAATCAACACTACCTATTTGTCATTGGGTAGGAAAGAAACGATGACACCGTTTCTCACAGAATCAGAGTTCGTTTTTCACATAGTTGTACTTGTCAGTCCTCACACTCAGAGAGCTTGCCCTGCTCCTCGGGGTCTGGCTCCCGGGAGCAGGTCTGGAGCAGGGCAGCTCCACTTCGGAGGGAGCTCTCAAGGACAATGCATTGTTCACACGTCTGCTTCCTGCTTCCCCCTGGCAATAAACATAACATGTGAACATGTAACAAATGTGAAAAGCAATACATCTATTGAGAAGATAAACCCCACCAGCTGGGATCCAGTAGCCAGCAGTACTAAAGATGAAAAAGCAAGGGCATGTTCTCTTTCCAGCATGGACACACACACAAGCCACAGCCTATATGGTCTCTTGGCTGACAGTGTACTTTACTGGCATTGCTGGTTTGAATGTCCACTGAGCTCATCTTCCATTGCTGGGCATTTAAATGATCCATTTGGTTGTTGTTGTTGTCATACTCATTACTGGGGTTTTAAACGAATTTTAGGAAATCGTTCTTGTTCTTGGTGGCTGAATCCTCACATGTGGGGAAGGTGGGTCAAAAGAATCAAATCATACTTAAAGCTCTTGCACAGGAGGGGCTTCAAGAAATCCATAGAAGGAATGCCATCATTTTACTTCCATCTTTTCATGAATTTCTGGGAAGTTGTCAGATTCTTCTCCAGGAAGGTATAGCCCTTCCCACCAAGGGAAGGCACCTTTGCTTTCCCTGCCCCTCTGTCGGCGTTCAGGAGTGCTGGGTGCCGGCCACTGCCCCCGAGAGATGGGAAGAAAATACAAACCACTGTATTTAGGAGCATTTCAATTACAGTAGGGACCCGAGAGGAAAAGAAACCCCGTCTCACAAAATTATCATTTTAAATCATGCTAATCGAGGAGTTGAAATGGCATGTTTTCCCATTGGTCCCAAGCTCTCTTAGAGCTGACTTCCTCAAATCAGAAGCCAATGAGGAGCCACCCTCGAGACTGATTTGTCCATTCTGTGAAGGTCTTCATCTGCTGTCCCCTAGTTCCAGTCATACCGATGTGCTGAAGAACCAGGCCAGTTGTGCATGCCATTGACTGGCCTCCTCCCCATTTCTTAGAATATGGAAAAGCTGTGTGCACAAGAATAAAATAAACCACGCTGAAATTGGGTAGAAGGCCTCTCCTGACAATGACAGTACAAGCAGGTGATTGGTAAGTGACCAAGTGAACTCGTTTTTCCTCAGCTGGGGTGTTGTTGACAGGATCCCTGGCAGCAGGATGAACCTGCACTAGGTAGGAACACGCGAAACCTGGTCTAAGGTGTGTGTCCACCTGAGGGCAGAGGCAGTGCAGTGAGATGGAGCGAGCCTGCAGCATGGTCTGCAGGGGTCTCAAAGGCAAAGGGAGCGAGGGATGTGACTAGGCAGCAGCAAAATGGCACCAAGACAAAGCTTCTGTCCTCTAATCTGGTCTTCCTTGAGGCAGCCGTGGAGGTCAGGATGGTCCAGTCGAGCCTGGCCCCAGTTCTCAACTCACAGAAATCATAACAGCTAGGAAGGCTATGTGCCAACCCTTTTACGGTTAAAGTTGTCCCATAGGTGTTTGAATGCTTTACTACGCCTACTCTTTTTATTTAGGACCGAAAAGATGTCTTACTAGAACACTTATGGAAGTATAAAAAAATCAGAATCATCATGAAAACGTGAAAATAAAAGTGTGCCAGTGGCCCAGGGAAATGAAGGTGAATGCTTCTGAAACATGCAGGTGGTTGTGGGCCCTGGTCAAACCTGCAGAGCCAGCAGCACCTTTGAATAACATACCCCCTTCAGGGTCTGGGCTGTTACGGTTTCAGAAGCCTCTAGGGGTGCTTGATCATTTTTAACTTTCTACTTTTCTCCAATTTCTTGATGCGTACACGTGTGCACTTTTGTTCAGAGACCGAAACAAAACATGCAAGAGAAAGCAGTCTCCTAAGACTCTGATGCAGGATGGTGGGTTTAGAAAGCAAGAGCGAGAGGGGTCTGAGGACACACGGCACGAGGAGGAGGCCACCAGGCACAAGCTGGAAGGCCAACATCAAGCGAAGAAACACAGGACCCACCCGCTGCCATCGAGTTGAGTCAATTCCAACTCACAGTGAGCCTGGTGGACAGAAGTGCTTCTAGGGTTGCTGAGGCTGTCCATCTTGACGGGAGCAGGCAGCTTCGTCCTTCTCCTTCTGCGTGGCTGGTAGGTTCAAACTGATGTCTAACAAAGAACCCACGATGCCACCAAACACATAAGGCAACACCTATCGCCACTGAGTCTTACCTGTCCCCTTCCTTATCCTCGGCTGGTTGCTATCTCCTCTCACGCCCATCAAGCCAGGTGGCAGGCTCAGGGCAATGCTTACCTGCCCACCTGACGAGCTTGCCCCAGGAAAAAGCAGGCTCAATGCAGGGTGGCCACCAACATTCAACCTGTAAGGCACATAGTAAGTGTACAGCGCAATGAAATGCAACTACGAGAACTCTGGGATCTGAGGCCCTCTTGTTCGTGTCTGCAGCACCGTGGTGTTGTACCAAAGGCTCTGAGCGCCGAGCCCAAGCCCGAGTTCCAATCTGCCTTTTATTCCAGTCCAAGGACAAAACAGGCCATGTGTGCCTCAGACTCTGAGAGCAGCCAGGGGACTGACCTCTTGATCGAGGCTCCCCTCTCCCTCTTCTGCCCCAGGCTACCTAGGAGAGGGTGTGCGTGGTGCTCGGGGCACAAACAAGTCTTCCCTCAGGGCTCTGCCATGAGTGAGTACATGAAGAAACCCAAGAGGTGGAAGGCACCGACAAACTCCCACAGTCCTGGTGACGGGCCCAGCTCGACTGCGGGTGGAAGCCGAGTTTGAAGGGTGCTGATGGTATCGGGCCCATTCACAAGTGAGAATCACCAACTTGCTAAAAACCTGTTGAAGATTATTCTTCAACTACAGCGTCAATGTTTATAAACATACTGTTTAAGAATATTTGACATGCTGGCAAATCAATTGACAAATAGATTTGTGGGGAACATTGTTGTTATGGATAGATGCAGCTGGATTGGTTCTGGGTTACGGGCCGATGCACCCTGCGCTGTCCTCATAATGTTTGAGCCCACTGTAGCTGCCATGGTCAATTCATCTTCTTGGGGGGCTGAAACGAAGTCTCACCATCCTGACTTCTACGAGCATTCTGGTTGTACTCTGTCCAAGGCAGGCTTGTTTGTTCTCTGGCAGCTCAGGGTACTTCCAATATTTTTCTCCCACAGTGTAATTCAAAGACAGCAATTCTTCTTGGGTTTCCCTTATTCCCTGTCCAGCTCTCCCCTGCATGTGAGAGGACTGAGAACCCTTGGGTTAGGGTCAGATGTACCTTTACCCACAAGGGGTCATTCCACATGATAACGAAAAAGGCAGAAAGTCGTTAGGGTGACTGGGGCTGTGGGGAAAAGGAGGCAGTTTCAACTAGTTATCTCAGTGCTCGCTGTGATGATGCTTACCCAGGTCCACTGAATGTGCTGCCTACAGGCTTCTTGCAAGAGTCACATCACATCAATATTATACTGCTTCCCTCCTGATATTTATTATCCCCAAGAAGATGGGAAGAACGTAGACAGTGAAGGAATTTATACAACAACTACTACTACTGAGAAGTGAAGACTAGAGAGCATGTCGGAGGCGCCCAACAAGGGAGGGGGGCAGCACATGCCAACTCCTACAGAACCCCAGCACCCCAGCGGTCTATCCATCGCTGTGCTGACGCAGAGGGAGAGTGGGCAGCCAGCCCTTCTCAAATTCTACTTGAAAAGCGAGGGGTCCAGTGTGGTACTGTTGGGGGAGGGACACCGGCTTCCCTGAGCCCAAGCTCGACAGTGCCAAGTCCTCAAGGGGCCACGAGACAAATCACGTCCACAAACTTCCAAGAGGACAACCATCTCCACGGGTGGCTCCCCACTACCCCCTGTACCCTGGCATCACACCAGGGGGGCTTGTCAACAACAAACTCCAGTTGGGAGGAGAGGGGAATGAGAGGGTGGGAGAATGCAACCAAAATCTGCCTGGGAACTGGCCTGAAGTCACTACGGGAAATGACCGTGCCTTGGAGTCGACTCTGACCCAGCAACTCTACATATGGTTTCTGAGGCTGGAAATCTTTATGGGAGCAGACAGCCTCATCTTTCTCCTATAAAGAGAATTGGTGGGTTTGAACTGCTGATCTTATGGTTCAATGCTTACCCAACCCAAACTGGGGAAAGAAAAAAAAGGGCAACAAATAATACCTCAAACACCTCGCCCCCTGCCTGCCACCCCCACACTGTCATTGAGTTGTAGCAGACTCATATAATAACCCTACAGGGCAGATTAGAACAAATCCTTGGGGTTTCCAAGGCTATATATATATATATATATATGTACAGGAGCAGAAACCCTCGATCTTCCTCCTGATGAGGGGCAGGTGGTTTTGAGTCAACAACCCTAAGATCAGTCGCAGAAAGCCTAACCTGTTGCACCACTAGGGCGCCATGAAAACACTCACCCCCTCACTTCCAATCGAGTTGATTCTGGCTCATAGCAACGCTAGCAGTAGAACTGCTCCTGTGGGATTCTAACACTTTAACTCTTTACAGGAGCAGAGTGGCTGGTGGCGTAGTTAACAGCTCAGTGTGGAACTCACCAGGGCTTTCTTTGAAAACAATAATGGTCACAAAACCACGACTCCTCCTCTCTCCCACTCAAGCCTTTGATCCACCATCAGGAGGGCTGATCTGAGGTCCAGGAAGCCCCTACCAATAGCCTACGGCCTGGCCTCACCCAAAGTCGCTATCCCAGGACACCCATCCCAATAGCGCAGTAGCCACGTTTGCCTCCCCTGTAGAGACTTGGGCCAGCCTCCCCATAACACTCTGGCCTTGAGTGACACATGGCGGCAGCTCTTGCTGTTACAACAGGGAGGTCTCCCCCAGGCAGGTCTTCACTGTTTCTCAGTAACATTCGCATCATACTCAAGGCCAGTCCGGACCCCACTCACTCATATTGCAGAAGTGCATCCCCAAAGTCCTCAGTGACCTAACAGACAAGTCCAGACTGACTTGACCCCCTTAGCTGGTGGGTGCAAGGGTCGTGGGGGCAGAAGACAGAAGGATTAACATAAGAACTCACTGTGAGTGATTACTGGAGCTCAGCACCCACCCCCACCCCCCATCTAACAGCTTCCTTTCCCTTTGTGCAGACCCCACTCCAGTCCCCATAACACCGACCTAACCTAATCTAGCCACACCTCCCCATCCCCTACCAAGCCTACAAACCAAACTCACAGCGACCCTACAGGGCAGAGTGGCATTGCCCCACAGTGTTTCCAAGGCTGTGAATCTTTACATGTCAACTGCCTCACCTTTCTCTTTCAGAACAGCTGGTGGGTTCAAACCACCAATCTCTGGGTTAACACCCAAGTGTTTTACACACTGGGCCCCCAGGGCCCCTTCCTCTGCCAACAGAGCTTAAATAAATCCCAAATCCTTAGGCCTGTGTCACATTCTACGTGACATCATCTTTGTCACCTGCAGTAATGCAGTTCATGAATGAGCCCTGAGATGTGAGAATCCTTTTGGCCAGCGGTTCTCAACCTGTGGGTCACAACCCCTTTGGGGGTTGAACGACCCTTTCACAGAGGTCACCCAATTCATAATAGTAGCAAAATGACAGTGAAGTAGCAACAACAATAATTTTATGGCTGGGGGTCACCACAACATGAGGAACTGTATTAAAGGGTCACAGCATTAGGAAGGTTGAGAACCACTGCTGTTGGCTTTGGGGAAGTGACAAGATGGGGGGAAAAGTGATTCTTGAAATTGCATAATATATTAAAATAAACAAAGTAAAAAAAGAAATTGTGCAATATAATAAAATGAAACAAAATTTTGTGATGAAGCTGAACTCTTCATCAAGGAAAAGAAAGACAAGTGAATTGGCCAAAGCTAGAGTTGCAGTAGGGCTGGCCTAGAGATGCGCACTCCTCCCTCCTAGACACTGTGCTGGGGACACACGTCCTCCAGGACAGGGGTGGCTCACGGTAGGGGTGCACTCTGCACAAAGCCTCTTGGACAGGGGTGGAGGTGGGGTGGGGTGCTGTAAACAGGACACACAGCGTTCTCTGTACCACTGGCTGAGCCCTCTAGTAGTCTCAGGGACCTTCAAAATGAAATGACAAAAACCTATCTTTTCTGAACAGGTCCCTGGGCTTTCTCCCACGTTTCCAAAGTGCTTGCTGCCAGAGGCATGGTGGCTGGGGAAGGCTGGCTCCCCAGCGCCTTCAGTGGCTCCTGAACAGCTTCAGCACACGAGGAGGCAGGACCCACGCACCCAAGCCCCCCAACACCAAGGGCCACGGCGACTCACCATGTTTGGCACGTTGGTGACTGAAGCATTCTTGATGTCCGTGGGGAAAGGAGGCAGGCTGTTGACCAGGCTCTGCTTGCTGGACAGCTGGGGGTTCACACCGGCAGCGCCCATCTGCTGCCCACCTGCTTGACTGAAGGGCTGTCCAAAGGGACTTGTGTTGCTCGTCATTCCCATCTGAAACAAGAGGAGGGGGACATTAGCCTCCACGATGAGACCAGACGGAATGCAGAGAAGAAGGGGCCTCAGGCAGGTGAGCTCTGGGAGGACAGCGATGAGAACAGCCCGCCCCCAAAGGGCAAGCAGCTGGCCCGTCCCTGTGGTCCTCATCTCCACACCAGCAGTGTGACCCACAAGGAGAGGAGGTGAGAAGAGAATAACTGTCTGGAGAATAATTGTCTCGCACAGGAGCCTCTCCAGCTCAAGACTGAACTGCAGGTGACAGGTTGCTCTCACATTTCCAGGTGAGCCTATCTGGTCAGTCCCTCTTCCTGTGCTCACCCAGTCTTCCAGGGGCACGTGGAAGGATTCTGCTGGAAATTTTGCTTTCCACCTTTTCCTCTCTGCCACCAAGAATGGACACTGTCTCCACTGTCCCTCGAACTTGTCAACTTTGCTAAGTGTGCTCCCCTCTTCCTGCCGCCCCCACCCCCACCCCCAGCAAGGCTCCTGGTCACAAGGGCCCCCAGAGCCAGGCGAGCCTGAGGGCAAGCTGTCACCTGCCCACCATAGACTGAGGACGAGTCTTTCACATGGAGAGACATCTAGGGCTGAGGATTTCTGCCCTGGTCAAGTGCTCCCTGGCCCAGGCCAGTCCGCATACCTTCACACGAGTGCTAAAGATCAGTTCACTAGATCAAGATGTCTAAAGACCCCCAACGACCATAACCCTGACACTGTTGCTGCTGCTGCCTGACAGTCACTGGATTGTAACTTGAGGGTGACTTGGTTTGCGGCTGATAGAACTAAAGCAGAAAAGAGCAACATCACGTATACAACAGGGAACAAATCTAAGTCTACCTACACAGACACTTGGCCTCACCCAATGAGCCCATAAGCGCAAAAATCCCCCTTTCACTTTTACCTTCCTAACGGAGTCCTTCTGAGCATAACTGAAATTCCATCCAGAAAACAGGAGCAGTTAACCGCAGTGATACCCAGATCCAAATCTGTTGCCTTCAAGTCAGTTCAGACTCCAGCAGCTCTCTAAGGCTGAGCAGCACTGCCCCATGGGATTTCAAGCCACCACACTTATGCAAGTCAGCTGCCAATTTTCTACTCTGTGGGAGGCTGCTGATAGGCCTGAACCTCTGACCTCCGGGTTAGCAGCCCAACGCATCACCCAACACAGCACTGGTCCTCTATGGGGTTTTGGGGTGGGAAATGTGGCTTCTGCCACAGAGCCCTTCAATGCTGCATCAGACATGCGTCAAGAGACAGGACCTGGGTGAACCATGCAAGGCTGCTGGAAGCTGCTCTGGTGAGCAGTTCGGCCAGTGCACACGGGCTAGCAAGGGGGTGGGTGGCCAGCCTCAGCATCCTTTGCAGATAGACTCACCACCAGGTAGCCCCTCTATACCAGGGGTGAAGGGCCAGGCACTGCTTGGGAGCCCTGATGGGGATGTCACCCAAAATCAAGCGCAAGAGTCTCTGTCCCCTGAGGGCCAAGAATCCTGTGATGAAGGGGACCCACCACCACCTCATACCATCCTACACCTGTAGCCTCCCGTCCCAAGGTGCCAACCACTCGGTTAAGATGCCAGATAACCACCATCGTCCCAAGTGAACTGCAGTTGAATCTCATCCTCACAAAACAGCCATGAGAGGGTCTGAGCATAATACTCACCATCATAGCTAAAAGCAGTCTGGGGACACGCCACCTTATCTGCAGGGACTGTGTGTAACAGGGGAATAAGGGGGCTTGATGGGCCTGACCAGAGCACCCACAGGCGGGTAGCTACAGCTCCCAGTGCACGCAGAGTCGCCCAAGCCACCTAAGGCGCTGTATGTGCAAGAGACACTGGCTTTGATGTGGCTTCAATGAGACCAGTAGACACTTGTTCTCTCAACACTCAGTTCCTTAGCAGCTTCCCCAGGGGCCTCTCGAGGGTGGTGGTACCCGTGTCACCTCCCCCAGGGAACCCCTCCGTACCAGACCACACAGCGTCCTGAGTAATGTTCTTTTTCCATTTTCAACATCAAACAGTATGTGGTAAATACAAACTACAAAAATGTAGTAGTTCTGAAATGACGTGACCACTAACCAAGCTGTTCTGCAAAAGCCTTCTACGCTGAATTACATGATTAGTTACAGTGACTTGCTAAAACCTTTTAAAGATTTTTTTCCCTCCTCCTTTCTTTAATTAATATTTCAGCCCCCCCTCCCCCAACCAAAAAAGGTTTTTGGTATCAGTTCACAAGTACTACTTATACCACAGTATCGTAGAAAACACCAGAAAATTTGACAAAATCAGTGACTATGAAAAACCCCAGCAGCCATGGCGCCAAAGGCGTGTGCACACAGATGAAGCCAGGGGGCCTGCGGTGCCACTGTCACCTGACCATCATCAGGTAGTAATGACAGCTCTCACCAGACAGCATCTTCAGACTCTCCAAGCCCACCACCACCAAGTCGATTCTGACTCATGGAGACAGATCCTAGAGGGCAGAGCAGAAAGCCCTGTCTTTCTCATTTGGAGTGGCTGGTAGGTTTGAACTGCTGACTTCAAGGCTAGTACCCTAAGGCGTAAGCCACCAGGGCCCCAGAGCTGCTCTAAGCACATGAAGAGGTCCAAAATCAGCAGAGGGTTTTGGCTTTCGTGTGTACACTGATATCTGAGCTGGGCTTTCAGAAAAATGTTTTTATTATTATGACTACACAGGAATATGCTTTTATTAAAAGACAATTCATTTTGCAGACAGTCATTTTGATGTCGCCCTCTCTGACAGTTTCACCACCACTCACCCACCCCTGTGACACCAATGAGTTTCCTGCCCACCTTCATGTTTTCTTGCTTGGAACCTCAGCATGCAGCAAGGAAGCCTGCCCTGGGAGCGCAGTACCAGCCACAGCCAGCCAGTGGGGCATGGAAACAGGGTACACGCATTAGAATCTTCCTAAGGAAGGGCCTTGGCTACAACCTGTCACTGAGCATGAAAGCTCATGACCACCAAATCAGTGAGGCCCTCCCTGCTTCCCATCAAGTAGATTCTAATGCATAACAGTCCTATAGGCTATACAGGTTTCTGAAACAGCACCTCTTTACGAGAGCAGCTAACGTCATCTTTCTCCTGCACAGCAGTTGTTAGGTTTGAAATACAGCGCTTATGGCTAGCAGCCCACTGTCACAAAGACCAAAGGTTGGCAAATGTGGGCCAAATATGACCCACCACCTGTTTCTGTAAATGAGGTTGTACTGGAAAACAGCCATACCTAAGTGAGCCTTCACTCAGCAATTTTACCTGTCCAAGTGTTGGCTCTTTCACCAACTAGCAACTTCATAGTGGGGAGTAAACAAATCGATAGAGGTGCACTTAAACTAGCCAACACGGAGAAAGGTGGCCGCTAGCACAGTGGAGTCCCTGAGGGTACAAGTGGTTTACAGGCTGGCTGCTTACCACAAAGCTGGAAGCAGCCACGAAGAAAGGCCTGGTGGTCCACTTCTGAAAAACCAGCCATCCAAAGCCTTAGAGAAGACAATTTTCTGACTCCTCGGCAGTGGTTTTGCTTTGTTTCTCCTTAATGATACAAAGATGGGTTCTGGGAGAGACTTACTAGGTGTATCATTTCTCTCATCATGAGGCTTGGGGTAATAATAAATGAGCATTTGCAGAGAAGACGTGAGGGTGGTGCGTGGTGCAAATCTGCAGGATGATATGGTGAGGTTGACTGCCGTTATGGTCACCTGCATCTGATCAAAAGACTATGTTTCCAAACAAACCAATGCAAAAACAAAAAACCTTGACACCCAAAATTGTGCGCTGCTTTGTGGTGAAAAATAGTTAGCCCACTTATTTCCAGGGTCTTAGTAAATCAGAAGTTTCCCTGGTAGTATGATGGGCTACAAACTGAACTCCTAACCACAAAGTCAGCAGTTTGAGACCACCAGTTGCTCAGAGGGAGAAGGATAAGGCTGTTTACGCCCCCAAAGAGCTGCAGTCTCAGAAACCCACTAGGGCCATTCTACTCTGTCCTATTGGGTCACTATGAGTTGGAATTGACTCGATGAGAGTGAGTTTCCTTTTGAGTAATTCACAGCACGGCCAGTTCTCCTCTGGATTATTACCCAGCTCTGACAGTAACAGGCTCAGAAGGGCCATTTCACATTTAGAATCTATCATAACCAACAGAGAGACATTGCTGTATTGTTAGGTGCTGTCCAGTCCATTCCGACTCACCTGCACCACAGAAGGAGCCACTGCCCAGACCCGCAACACCATGATCTTGTTTGGGCCCCTTGTTAGAGCTACTGCCTCAAGCCCTAATAAGATGCATGCGATCAAAGCACTAAAACCCAATCTTCCAGTGTTGAAATGTACATCAAATCAGAGGAGACACACACAAGGAAAAACATGCCCCCAAAGACGACTGTGGCAGCTCCTCTGCCCAGGAGCCGGCCCAACAGTGTGGCCAGGACTTCATATGGGGCTCCCACTTTACTTGACCCCTGCCTGCCAAGCAGACATGCAGCACTTTTCCACGTCCATCGGTCCAAGTCAAGCCAGAAAGTACCATGTAGAGTGTAAACGGCACACGTGTGTGCGCCAAGGGCAGTGGATCTGCTAGATACCTCAGGGCCTGAGGCTGGCCCTTCTTTGCACAGACAACCAAAGCAGAGCTAGCCCAGACAGCGGCCACTTCGTGTGTAAAGCCGAGAGCAGTTTCTTTTGGCAATGGCCCACTGCTGGCAGGGAGCCAAGGAAAGCCGTTTTCATGGAAAGACATAGCTGCATTCAGTTGTCTGCAATCACCCGCTTGCTCTTGGACGCTGTCCAGCCCCTCAACTTGGCACATACGGAGCCCAGAGGATTGCCCAGCTTACCGCAAGGCCGCTGACAGAGTGGTAGCCACCGGCGCACACCTGGAGACAGCACTGGGGCAGCCTGAACCCCTGCGTGCCCTCCATGGTGACCCTAAGCACACCCCTGCACCAGGAAAACCTAGCCGAGGTAAGTGA